CTGTAGGTGTGTTTGAATCTGTAGATGTGATTGATTCAGTGGGCGATATTGGAATTTCTGATGTCGTTGAATCATTTAACACCGTTGTTGAAATGGTCACTGTCGAATCTGTGACTGTAGATGTGTTTGAATCTGTAGATGTGATTGATTCAGTGGTCGATATTGGAATTTCTGATGTCGTTGAATCATCTAACACCATTGTTGAGATGGTCACTGTCGAATCTGTGATTGTAGATGTGTTTGAATCTGTAGACGTGATTGCTTCGGTGGTCGATATTGAAATTTCTGATGTCGTTGAATCATCTAACACCGTTGTTGAGATGGTCACTGTCGAATCTGTGACTGTAGATGTGTTTGAATCTATAGAAGTGTTTGAGTCTGAAGACGTGATTGATTCAGTGATTGATATTGAAGTTTCTGATGTCGTTGAATCATCTGACACCGTTGTTGCATCTGAGGCTGTATATGTTACAGATGTTTGTGAACCTGTAGGTATATTTTGCTCAGTGGTAGATTCTGATGTTGAATCAACCTTAGATATATTTTCTCTGATAGTTGTTATTGTTATTGGATCAACTGTTACTATAGTGCTGATGAAGCTTTTAGTCGTTTGTGTCAAATCGGTTATTGGAATTGAGTTTGTGGTACTCGTGTGTATTTCAGTGGAGTTCGTATTTGTTGCAGGATTGATAGCAGTTGTGTTTAATGTTGAAGTTGTACTGTAAGAAAGTGTTGTTTCTGTAAGTTTATTTGTTTTTGTTGTTGATGTCGTTGCATACGAAGTAGTAGGTTGTACTGTTGCTGGACTTTCAATCTCATCGTCGAAGTCGTTGCAATATGTGGTTTGTTCTTCCTCTTCATCACAGTCATCACATATGTAGCATTGAAGTATATTCGATTTAACTAAAAATAATCTAATGTTATTCTCTAAATCACAAATAGTTAGTGTAAGGTTTAGTCTTAGCATTAAGTTAATAATGGTTAAAAGGATTTTATATATATAAATTTATGTAATCGTTAATTTACACATTATAGAAAACTAATAAAATAGAAATTTTATTAAATAAAATAAATATATATTAAATATATATTGATTACATAATTTAATTGTATTCATAATATATAGCATTTGAAAATGAATTGAACTTTATTAACTGTGATAATAATAGTACATGATAATCTAGATATGCACCCAGTCCATTTATATTGGTCGCACAACAGAATTGATAGTAAAATCGATTTATCTAGACATGCTTCAAGAAAAATACAAGAAAAATGGAGAGGAAACGTGAAATTAGGACCAAGTGACAGAGAACTGAAACTAATAAAATGTTCAAGTAAATTTATTTATACAGTAGATATAGCATCGAATTTCTAGAGCATGAGAAATCATATTGAAAAAATATTTATTATTTTTTTCTAAATGTCTCTGGGTATTATTATTTTTACATTTAACATTTTTAAATGTTAAAGAGTAAATCTTTTCTTAACTCGATACACTTTTCTCAACGGTGGCTTATCTTCTTAAGCCGCTTTATCATAAAAATATGCAATACGATACTTATGACTGATTCAATAATGTTGCAAAGTAAGCTTCAGTGGTTTTCAGTGGCGTAACTACATTTTTTAGGCCTGTAAGCAAATTCTAACTAAGGGGCCCCTACCAACATACTAAGGGGCCCCTCTTTTTATACTCTTTACACGAAAAAATGTGAAAAGGATGTATAAGGTTTGTCAAGATTTTCGTAACGCATTAAAGGAAACGTCGGAAATATCATTAAGTATATATCAGTACAATATATATATACTTTTTCAGTTCAAACTACTCTCTCAGCTTTTGAACTCTTCGAACGAAACTTTACACACATACTTTTCGGGAGCCATTTGGTTTGATTGAAATTGGACGTCTATTTCTTGTATCTGTGATATAAACTTAACAATCGGATATGAGGTTTCTCCGTTTTTAATAAAGGTATTCAAATGAAATTTGGTGTATACAGTACTGATATTTGCAAAAGACAACGTACAAAATTATTTTCAAATAGGTTTAAATCTAGATATAGCTTCCATATAAGTCTCTCGATTAAGACACATATTTTTCTTAGAAAAACTTTTTTATTTTATAAATAGGTTTAATATTTTATTTGAAGTACATACATATTATGTACTTTAAATTTAAAATTTACGTATCTTTTATAAAATGCAATATGAAGTTAATCCAACAAAAAACGTTTCGTCCCACTTTTGAGAATTTATTAAAAATAAATACAATGAATACAAAAATTTATAGTGGGGCCCCCTAAATTCGGGGGCCCGAAAGCGTTGCTTCCAGTTGCTTCCCTGTAGTTACGCCACTGGTGGTTTTGTAACGTTTTTCGATGCAGTGAATCAGAAACAAGTTTTTTCCCTTTCAAAAAACAGTAGCCGTGGTTTTGCGGGCGACTGTTTTGTTTTGAGTATTCTTTTGTTTCGGAAGAGTAATCCATAGGGAGTCCAACTTACTGAAACAGTTCTAACAGAGTTAAAAAAATTGCGGTTTGCAAAAACAAGTGCAGAGCTTTTTTATGTGGAGATCTTCAAACTATATACAATCTCAGAAAGCCTAATGATTATTTGACTGTGGCTTTATAAACAGTCAATCTCCCACTTTTTTACTGTTGCTTACAATCATGCAGAGGTCTTGTAGACTTCACTTAATTATTTAGCAGCAGCCACAATATTATTTTTTTAAAAACAAAAATTCAATTACGCGTTTCGCTATATCTTAACAAACGCATGAGGTCGGTCAATGAAAAATATTATTAAATATACTTTTGGCTGCAAAAGTAGATTATCATTTTTACGATTGTATTTTTGTTCTTTCAATCTTTTCTGCTTAATTTTGGGCTCAAAAACTTTTGTTTGTCCCCCGTTATGGAAAACTATTTTCTATAGTGAGAAATTATAATTTTTCTTTAAGCACTGAGTTCTTATGCTTATATACCATATATTGTATCTTTAAGTATGCTACAAGTATCAGAGTATTTTTTTTTCTATCTAATAACGGTTTAATTAAATACACATTGCAATTAAAATATCTATGTTGTTTACTATATTAATAATAATAATTTTTCTCACAATAGATTTTTAAAGTGCTTTGGGTGAATCACTTATGAAAGTAACATTTTGAAAATGGAATAATCTATTAACTGATATGTAAAATTGATATAAAAAATGTTTATCACAATAAAGAGGCATTTTAACAAGCCACTTATATGAAATAAATTATTTATAAACTTTAATTATTTCCTATTTTCAGTTAAACAAATGGCAGAGAAAAGGACAAAAGATAGTAACAGAATGGGAGAGAAACATTTATTAATTATTTTATTAATAAATCTTATCTATACGGGAAATTGATATAGTATACATACCAAGTATACATAACTATTCTTTTTATTCAATCTTTTTCAATTTTTATCCTTTATGCAATTGCATTATGTAGATATATAGAATTATCTTAACTAACTAATGAATCTCTGAAATAATTTTCATTCTATAAAAATAGGTTCAGATTTTTAAAAAATATAATAAATCTTCAGAGAATAATTTATTTGTATTAAATTTCAAATGTATTAATAGAAATTATTAATTATATATAATTTTCTATAAAATAAAGTGCCTAATTATGCCCCAAATTATAAACTCTAATTTCATCAGAGACCAAGTAACAGTTTAAAAATGAAAAAGTTTCTGGATGCCTAAAATATGTAGTTCTATCTGTCTATCAATAGAAGACAGATAACAGAAGGGAAGAAAAACAGACATTGCATGCTGTTTGCAACTAATTAGATCGTTAAAGGACAATTTATAGCCTGAAGACTGTATTTGGCAATGAAAAACAACCTTGTCTTTATTGTAGAGCATCAAGACAAGGCATGGCCGCAAACGTAATCTCCAACGATACAATTTCAAGTTTTATCTTAACATCACTCATAATATTTCTTTTAAAATATTCATTACGGATTTAATGAAAAAATGTTCAGAATTGTCTCATCGCCTATATTTTTAGATTTATCCGTTATAGACTTAATTTTTTTTTCTCAAACTTAAAGAAGTTTCAGTGAGATTTTAGTCCAAAAATGAGGTTATGGTTAAGGACTTTGAGTAATTTTTATGTTTTAAAGTAATTGAAATATTGGAAAAATATTGGTTTCAGTGTTTTGAGTTAAATAGAAATTTTTAAGAAATCCTTTTTTTATTTAATCCACTCTCGTTTGCAAAACTATCAAGTCCACTGTAAAAAATCTTATTTGCATTTTACTTGTTTGATTTTATATATATATATATTTTTTTTTTTTTAAAAAAAAATTCATATAAGCATATTGTAGTTTTTTATTTTATATTCTACATTATTTTTGTTTATTGTGTATTTTCATTAATTAAATAATTATTTACACTTTAAATTCACCTTTGCTTATTACAAATAAAACACAAATAAATATGCTTAATAATTTCATTTTGAAACGATGACCAAATTTAAATAAATTATTGGAACTTTTTTAAATATACTATAACATATATTCTGTATTTAAATATATATAATGTATATCATATCCTTTTTTGATTTACATAAAGTCGTTTGTATACTCGTACAATTTTATTTCCGCTAATTTTTTCGTGTTAAATGTCGATTGAAACTGATTTTTCGCATTAATAGTTTTTATATATATAATTGCGGTTCTTCAGATTATTTTGTGATAATTACTGATAATGATATAAGATACTTTAAAAAGCTTTATAATATTTATTTTCATTTTTTTTTTGTTTTTGTTTATCAAATGTGTGTAATTTAGTGCAAAATCGCATATTAAATGTTTGCTCTACGAACGCAAAGCAAATACTTCTCTTGCATTTAAGACATAATGGGAAGAATATATTCAATTTTTATCAAAATATAAACAATAATTAGAAGTGATTTTTCTAAAGCAAATGAGTGTTCCAATAAAACTTTTCTAAAGAATTATCATTCATAAATTCTTAGCTGCAAGGCATGACTACTAATACAAATACTTTTTTTTATTAAAAAACAAATACAAAAAATTATATAGCAGTAAGGTTATTAATAAAAGCATGGCAACTTAGACCCTCTGCTGGGATTCAAGACAAAAATTTCATTTTACAAATAAAGATAGGTATACTAAGAGTCAATTTAACAATGCACGCTTAAGTGTCGATTAAACACTGAAACGATATTTATTAAAATTTCAAGTGACGTTTTGGAGCACAATATTGAACTAACATAAGGGTTATGTTAGGTTGAGTAGGAGTGGAAACCTTATGCCTAAAGCCAAATTTAAGCTCAAGTAATGGCGTGTTGTTATATCATGCATTAGCATTGTTCGTACATGGACCAAGATTCTCAAAAGGACCGCAGTGTTCAATATACGAACTATGGAAAGTGAACCAACCTAACAAGTCTATTAACTTGACCACGTGAACCAAGATTCCCGAAAGTTCCGTAGTGTTCAACATACGAACAGCGCTGATAGATACGATTCCCCCATTCAATGGAAAGTGAACCAATCTGACAAGTCTATTAACTTGACCAAATTTACTTCATCATGCCTAATTTTGTTTGATGACAACACTGTCAGGTGGGCACAAAAAGGGCTTTGAAATTAGATATCTTCTCTTAGCAAATGATTAACACTGACATATTAGGTGGAAAGCAGTTTTCTTCTCATCCGCAGAGCCATAACCTCGACAAAAGTCTTTATAGGGTATAAATGAGGACAGTCTATAGTATGTCTGCCTAAGCCGTAGTGCTAAGCAGATTACGCCTTAGTTGAAACATGGACTGATACGATTCTTTTTCGGTTTGGGCCAGATCAGTTTTGAGAATTGACAGTAGTTTTCTTAGCCATACTTAAATATTTTTGTTTATTATCAGCTTGGCCGTCGCAAGAGAAATACCAATATCCGAGAAATTAATGTCAGGGAGCAAAAGACCTGCCTTAATAATCTCGTCTACTCTGCATTTGCTCGAGATGACTTGCATCTAGATGCTCATATGAGCTGGGCACTGACATGCTTAACTAACTCGTTAAGGGATAGTCGCCATTCTTGAACTGTTAAGGATGTAGCTTAAGTGCTTATGAGAGATGTGACAGCAGCTTAGCTGTCTGAGATAATATAGTTGTACAGGATTCGCCGTTCTTTCTGTCTGAAACGCTTTGCAGTTGAAGTGGTTTGATACTGTCAACTTTTTCATCTCTATTGGAGCCATCAGTATAAATGTCTCTCTAGTTATCTCTACTACGATTAAGAAAACCGAACCCCAACTGTAGTCAATTGAAATAATAACTAACAAATGCTAATTCAGTATACTGGCGTGCCCTTTGTCAATTCTAAACCAGCGGGAGAGAACACTATTGAATCTGATTGATATTAAAAAAGCTTGCTCTTTTATCGGAAGCTGAGAAGGCAGTCAGTGAAGAAACCAAAAAGAGCTTTCATGATGGTGAAACGTAGAGCTCAAGTAATTTGTAATGCCGCCATCCTTATTTTATAGAGCAGTTTTATATAATTCGTCTTTTTAGGTGACTTAAGGGTTGAGCATTGTAATTGTGCATTCTAAAACTGTCCTTAAATATTAAAGATAAATGTAAATTCTTATATTTATTTTGTATATAAGCGAAAATAAAGTCAAATAAGCTATTATTATGAGTTTTTCTTAAAAAAAATTGACTTTAAAAGGTTATTATTACAAACAATAACTGAGAAAACTGCATCTTAGTTTGATTTAATTTTTAATAGTTGGAAAGCAGAAACTTAATTCAGTACTGCATAAATATAATTATTTGTATTAGTATAGTTTTCATCGATAATTGCTTAAGATTGATAATATTGAAATAAACTGACTATGATCTTTCAAATAGGCTGGATTGATTGTAGTTTTGTTTACCATTCAATTGTGTGTTAATAATGGATTGAAATATGCATACATATAGTCTTTCGATTCATATTGTGCGAACTTCAGTTCTTCAAACCTCCTATAATAGGGATTTGAGGAACTCCCGTGATAGTGTATTGGTCAATATCACAATTTATCAAAGATTTGTTATTCCAAACCATCAGCTATAGTTTAATATATTTAATATATTTATATATATACATATATATATATAGAAATATATTTATTTCTATTTGAGCCAGTGCACTTGAACACTTTTACTCTTTCTTAACTCGAGGTATTTTTAAAACCCCTCTTTACGCCTTGACTGGATTATTGTTTATCATTTCATAAGACTAAGCAATAATTGACCTCAGATCGGCATACCTCCCCGAGGAGTCCGTAACCATTCTGAGATTTGATAACGCGGTGTTGGTAAGTCTGTCAGTCTTCACTAATAATTTCAGGACTATATCCTTTATATATATATATATATATATATAAATTTCTATACTTAAGTGGAAATATAAAACGTAAATACAATATTAAAGAGTAGCTTTGAATATATTCCTAGGATTTTATATTGCAGTATTGGTCTTTTTTATTCTATATAATTATGAATACATAATATTTAAAAAAATAATTTTATTTTATTTATTTATAAGCCGTTAAGGCTTGATAGTAACGAAAATTTAACTACAAATATTTTTTCTCACAATAAAACCTTTGTATAAAGCAAAAATAAATATATACATATTCATAACGTCACTAAATTATAGTATTATATTAAAATAGAAATTTATAAGCTGTCTAAGTAATAATGGCTTATTACTCATTATCGCAATAGCAATAAATTTGAGAACAATCTTCCATATCTATAATAGTCTATTATTATATATCTGATAAAGAAATAATTATATTTCTTTACAATGTTAAAGAAAGCAAATATTCATAAACATATTTAACTCAATCCCATTTATCTAAATTTGTTTTCCAAAGAAATAGAAGAAATTCTTTCAATAACTAAAGAAATATTGTAGTTAAATAATTAAAGTAACAAATTCTTTAAGCATCTAAAGATAAGTTTTTTTATTGCACAATATTGCATTATGTGTATTTTATGCTGATAAGGAGTTAAAACTAATTTTTTAAATAAACTTGCAAATAAATAAGAAATGCATAAACTACATTAGTTAGTAATAGTTATGATTAATTTGTTCTCAGAATATATATTCAGCTTTTTAAATGGGGGCGTCCCAGAAATAAAAACATTCACGAATGCATGTGAGCTTCAAAAGCATCTGATTAAAATAAACTAGAGAAATTTTTCTCGATATCTGATAAGATTT